TATATGGGTTTGTCTTTAAATTAGGGATGATAATTCTAAAGAATTTTATGGAATTATCAATTCCTCTTAATAATTCCGATTTACATTAATGTAATAGTTACATTAATGGTTCGTGGAATTAATCCATTCCATTAATGATTACTTTAGTTTTTTTTTTAAATGATTAAATATATGGAAAGAAAACAATATATTGGAGTTGGTAAGAATGTTTGAATGTTTTTAAAGAAGTCTCTTATGCTCACCAAGGCTGCATTTAAATGATCAAAAATACAAAAAAGAGCAATAGTGTAATGTTATAACCATTTCAAATAACTTGTTTTAGCTTTTCTATATCTGTGATGGTATAGCTGAATTCATTCTCACATGTCCGTTGTTGCTCAGGAACCATTTCTTATTATCAATGTTGAAAACAGTTGTGCTGCTGAACATTTTTGTGGAAATCGTGATCATTTTTTTCAGGATTCTCTGATGAATAGAAAGTTTATATCTGGACTGACCTCAGACAATAGTGTATCTTTAACTATGATATTTAAGGCTACGTTTACACATGGCCGGCTATTTTCATAAACGGACATTTCACCCCTCTCCGTTTTCAAAAATAACATCGTGCACACCTGTCAGTTTTCAGAAAAATGTTCGTTTACACAAACCCGTGTATATGCCGCCAAGATCAGAATCCCGAAAATAGTCACATACTGTGACGTCGGCTGCCTAAAACTCAGTTTTTCTCAGTTTGCATGCAAACGTGCAAACGAAGGTTTCCAAAATCTCCACTCTGGCCGGAGTTTTTAGAAAGAATCGTTTTCAGAGGCGAATTCTCCGTTTGCGTGTAAACGAAGGGCACAAACGAAGGGAAATGTCTCCGTTTTTCAAAATAACCATGTACGTGTAAACGGGGCCTATAATTCTTAAAGTCAGCAAGTTTTTGATTCACTAAAAAGACCCACCAGAAGTCATTTGTTCAAGAATCTGTATTAGTTCTGAATAAGAACAGGTTCTTGGGTTCCCAGCCCTAAGTAATATTGTGTATTCCGTTTTCTGAAAATACTGAGTTTGTAAAACACAAACCTGTTTTAGTGATATAGAAATATTTGGGTGTTGTTAAGGTGCTTGTGTTTAATAGGTGTTGGTAGCCAACCCTCCCATCTCACTCACAGATGTAGCTTAAAGTCCCCCTGTAGTCAATAATTGTATCCCTTAAAACTCATCTCCAATCACCAAAATGACATATTTAAAAAAATGTCTTCATGCCTTTAAATAGCTTGAATGTAACTCTACACCCTTGCCTCATTAATGATACGCAGGTCTATGAATATGCAAATTAGCCCCGCCTCCACTCACTCACACCAGCTCAGAGATCCACTCGTTGACGATCACACGTTGACGTGATTGGTTACAAGGTAGTTTGTGACGTCAGAAACACCAGCGATTTCAAACCGCGTTTTTGAGACTGTCTTTGGTTCACTGCAGTTTTAAGGTGAAAATACTCAGCAATGGTGTTGACTTATGAATTTGCACATGGTTCGTCTTAAACCATGTTAAACACCACATAGGCATATATTAAAAACTAGATTTTCACCACAGGGGGAGTTTAACTATAAGTGAAGTAGACCTACCCTGCAGCTTTTTAATCCAGATAGATGGTCTGTCCCATGGTGACTGCTGAATTAAAAGATCAGCATTTATGAAATCTTAACATTGTCATATACATCGTCCTGTATCCAGAGGGAACAGGTCGTTAGTGTGCAAATCTGAAAAGACCTAGTTATTACTCCGACTTCTTCACCTTCCTTACTCTGTGTCTATCTCTCGCGTTTTCTCTCGGCTTCAATATCAGCCTTACACACACACACACACAATGACACGCATTACGCCGAGCTGTCGCTGTTCACCAACACATTCTAATGAGGTGATGACCAACCACTTGTTATAATTGCTTTGGACTCTTTTTAATTTTCAAGCTTATTAATCATATGTAGAGTTATTTAAAATTGCATAAATTAATCTTAGATTAAAAAGCCTTTAACAGACTCAAAACAATTAAAGAGAGAGGTGAGATTTCCCCTGGGTTTGGCAGTTTTACTTTAATAGAGAATTCAGGTGATTATCACACTTTGATATGAGGCTGTGATTAATGTAGCCACACTTTTAAATGAGATTTTGCCATTTATTTATTTTTTTGTTCACGCGTTGGAGAGGTAAAGCAGGGAGATGATAATGACCTAACTAACAGAGTATTTATACTGCCTCTCCACTCTGCAAGTGTGCTAAGCTATCAGCAGGTGGGTTAATTAATGGAGGTCCTGTTTCTGGCATGCTCCAGCACACACACATACACAGAACAGAGGGACACACAGGTGGTGCGCTTTGTGTGTTTGTGATCCGTCTCAGCACATCCAAACAAGCGGGTGACCATCTAAGCTCTGATTTATTTCAGGTCATCGGGCACACACCCAAATGTACGCGTTTGCATTAGTTAGCAGACCTGCACATCTTATCAACTTGCGTTCTGCTAGATACGTGTCCATGCTTGACATTTATTGTTAATGTGCTTAAGCTCTTATTGTTTCTTTAACTTTGGGCACTTTTATGTCTGAGGGGTTGGTTTTACTAAAACTTTTTAGATTTAGCTAAATGCTGTTTTGAATATGCATTTTTTTTTTTGGTCTACTTTTCAAGTATCTTTTATGTGCAAAAAAAAAGTAAATACAGCAATTTTGCCCCATATCAAGTATTTTGAAAAGTTAGTACTTGGAGACAACAGTGAAAAGCTTGAGATGAAATATGAGACATGATGTGTGAGGGGGGGAAAAGACAAATCAAGGTAAATATAGCTTGTGAGTTGCATATTTAATCATGTGTTTTATCCCAGTTAAGCTGTAATCAAATTATGCAAAACGTATTCAAGTTTGTATATTTAGGGCACATAAATGCAAGCTTTGAAAACAGCCCGAGTTGGTCATTTTATTTAAAATGTTCGTTCCATCACAGAGTGTTATTAAACCATATTAAAGGATGACACTGCAGTGGAAATGTTTGTTACTTTAAGGGGGAAAAAATATTAAAAGGAGAGAATTTATGCTGTCTATTAGTGGTCAATTTTAAGTAGTGAAAGCATAAAAAGTGTGTTTTAAGAGACTTAATTTCCGAGTTCAAACAAGCCCATAGCTGAAGAGTTATTACATGAATTCTCTCCATTCTCCCTGGCCTCTTCTGTCAGGTCAGAAAGCAGGTCCTCACCCGAGCAGAGGCAGAGCTGGTTGTGGATCTGGCACCGAGCGTTGGGCTGCCCAGGCTGTGTGATTGATGGGATGGGTGGCTGGTAGGACTGCCCCTTTCCAACACTCCAGCACTGAGAGTGATTAACCTCACTGTGGCACAGGCAGAGCTCACCATTAAGAGGACAGAACGATTGATGGTATAGCGTTGTCCTCGTTGAGAGAGAAAGAAGGAAAGAATGAGAGAGGATGATGAAAGGCTATGAGAAGATCATCAAAAGTGTTCAGTGCATCAAATGAACATCAGATTAAGAAACAGTTGTTGCTTGTTTACTGATTACAAGTTTCCTAGGATCTATCTGATTTTTCAGCTTCAGTTCAATTTAGCTTTGTTTCCCCCTCCATGTATGTCTCCTCATTAGGGCTTCCTAATGATTTTGCATTTGAATCACTGTCATTCTATTGCAAGTTGAACTATTTAATACCAAGTACTTAAGAGGCTTTGTGCCAGAGAAATTAGGGCTGATGTGCTCATTTGCGCTGCTCAATCTGTTCATCTCTGTTGAACACGGAGAGGAAAACCAGTAGGCATCACCTTGGCATGCACACGATTGACAGCCATATTGTGTCAGTCCTTCTCGTTTTTATGGTACACTCCAGTGAGATTTGTCATGTTTCAGATTGATTTGTTTATGTATCAGCTATTTGAACAAGTGAACATAATTGTTGTTCACTCTCCATTACTCATTTATTTTGCTGTTATGTATCGGTAAAGGAATCGCATTGAAAACTAAACATCATTTATTTATCTGCCTCATTCTGTTTTTCAGGATCACCCCTTTATCGTGCAATATAATGACGGCAACACTGAGGTCGTGTCCATGTGGGTGTGCCGCAGCCTAGAGGACCGCAAAGCCCAGCAGGCACAGATACTCATGTGAACAACAGTGGCACAGGATGGAATTATGGGAGATGGTGTTCACATTTCCTTACTTTATTCTTCCACTGAACCCAGAAAAGCAGCAGCTGAACTTGCAGCTCTTCCTCCCATGCTTGAGTTTAATGATGCACGGTGAGACAACTGCTACGAGTCTGATGCAGATTATGCTAGCATCCTGCACATGGGGATTATAACCGTATGTATTGGTTTGCATTGATGCAAATCTTTAACTTTGTTCTTCTGCAGTGGGTTTCTTTTCACTTTTTGTACAGATTCCAAAGTAAATGTTTTCACTGAAGATCCTTGCGGGGGGCTGTTGCTCGCTCGACTCGAATCGAGTAAAAAATGGTGTCTCTGTCTGTACTTAAAGCCACAATCTGGTTTTGCCAAAACATTGTGGGCATGTCATAAATCATCTCGAGTTCAGTGAAACATTACAGTTTTCAAAGATATGGGGGTGTGTCAAGCATTGCTCCCTGCTGCAGTGCAAGTCATGCTGCCGTTGTTTTAATAGCCACTTTGTTGAGTTTCACCAATGGCCTGCCACTTGTGGCGATACCCTATTGAAGTTAGAAAAATTTGATGCCTTGTTACGGTGGAAGGCAGTGGATGGCAGCTTGTGCAGATGAGCTTTTAGATAGTCCAGCAGAAGCCAACTGTAATGCTACATTAGATGCCAGCAGTTTGGTGAAGTGGTTCATGGGAATTGATTGCTTTGATTAATGCAATCCCATTTTTAAGTTCGTTCTATATACTTTTTACTCTATGTACGCTACCGTTTGAAAGTTTGGGGTCGGTACTATATATATTTAAAGAGATTAATACTTTTTTTAAGCAAGGTGATCATAAAGACTAAGTTAAGAAAGATTAAAATTTCAAATGCTGTTAAGCAGCACAACTATTTTCAACATTGATTATATTAATACATATCAGCACAAAATCAGCATATTAGACTGATTTCTGGAGGATTGTGGACACTGAAGACTGGAGTAATGATGCTGAAATTTCAGCTTTGAGGTCACAGGATTAAATTACATTTTAAAATGTATTCAAATTGAATATTTCACAATATTACTGTTTTTACTGTATTTTGATCAAATAAATGCTGCCTTGGTGAGCATATGAGACTTCTTTCATAAACATTTTTAAAAATCTTGCCAACCTCCAACTTTTGAACGGTACACTATTCTTCATTTCAAAGTTATACAGCAAATCGGATGAGTCTAGCCATTTAGAAAATAAAAATTAACTTCAGTTGAGAATTTAGATGAGAACCTGTGAATACTCTTAGATCACATTAGCTTAAGACAGTCTCAACATATTCCTCCATTCATATTAGCACAGCAGGATCCACTGAACTGTTGCAAGAATGGTAATAGTGACTCACAAAATCCCATCGCACCCCTTTGAAACCGAATTCGCTTTTCTCTTGTACTTCATGAAATATTAAGCAAACTCCCATTACAACTGTATGCATCTGAATGAACTGACCTCACTTGTCTGAGGATTTTATCAAAGCAAATCCACAACCTCTTTGCATTAGCCACACCAAGCCGTAATATTTGTTTCTGATATTTTATAGCCATTTTAGTGTCTCATCAGTATTACTTTAAAGTTGTTGTTTGTTTTTTATTGCAAGGTCAAAATATATTTTCTTATTTAGATATTGTGGTTCATCAGTGCCTGTGTCTGTTGAGAAAGCATTCAGAATTATTACAGGATACGACTCAACACAGTGGAAGAAGAGAGTTTTTCTATATAAAGGTGAATATGTATAGTTCTGAAAATGTAGTTGTCACATACCAAAGCCAAATGCATTATATTGTCGATTTTTTTAAAACTGTATCGTAAGTTATATTATTTGTATCTCCTTTTTTCTTAATATGTAGAACTATCTCAAATTAATTAAGATTAAAAAAAATAATTAAAGATTAAAAAGACAATTGGCCAATAACAAAATCTATGAGGAAGAAAACAACCATGTGACTACCTAATACTGTTGAGGTGAGGTTTGCACATAAAGGTAATCTTTCTAAATAAAACTTTTCAGATCTCATTGTTTTATTTACCTGCATTTCATAATGTTTCCCTACACTCTTAAGAAAAATGGTTCTAAACAGTACCAAATAAGGGTTCTTCTCGGCTTGTAACAATAGCAGAACCCTTTTTGGTGCTAAATAGAACCCTTTTTAAAAGGTTCCATAAAGAACCATGCTTTGAAAGTCCTATATAGGATCTTAATGGTGGAATAAATAACCTTTTTAACAATATTTATTTTCATTCATATTAGTATCTCTTTTATTATTAATATTACTATTATTAATAATATTTATATATATTATCTATTAATATTGTTTTTTAGTTCCCTAACTGCCTGGTCTTATATCTTGTTGACTCTATTTGGGTTTTACATTTTTTTAAAAACACCATGTTGTGTCAATTGGGTACTTTTATTTTTTATTGACATGGCAGATTGTAGCAAAAATGACAGTGATCTAATAACAGTTGTTAGCTGAATACATTCAAAATAACAATTGACGTTGAACACGACATAGATGTAATGAAGACCAAGTTCCAGTGAAATATCTTCACAATCTCCTGTCTTTATGTCCTTCATTATGTGTGTATTCTGAGTGGCAGTTTCTGTCTGCAGATGATGAGGGTATAATAAGTTACATTGTGTCTCTTCCATTTGATTATGTAAAAACAATTATGTTCATGAAGGCCAAAATTAGCAAAAATTTACTGTATGAAGCCTTTACCATGTTAAAAGGAAAAAGTGATATAAAAGCATGAGATGGCTTTAATGTTTTTTGCAGCTGTTATATTTAGGCATAAGGTCATAATTTAAAAGAAAAACAAAAAAAATAATATGGATCATAAATTCCATATCTCTGTTAATTATTTTGTGGAGAAGAGAAGATGATTATCCTTAACTGAACAGAGCTGCTCACACTTACATGTTCAGTTAAACTAAAAAGAGAAAAAGACATGATTGTTAGGAAATGATAGTTGCAATTTTTTAAAGTAATTTATAGACATTTTAAGAAAGAAATCATTTACCTGTTGAGAGTACGTTGACAGTCTGTGTAGTAACTGTAGTTAGCTGAGCTCCAGAAAATCAGTAATGAGGAAGCTTTGACAGTTACAGATTTGAAAAACAAAAAGGCGGGAATACAGAACCCTAAACTCTGTCTAACACAAAGAACCATTTCAGCATAGAAAGGGTTCTTCAGGACAATACAGTTCTAAATAGAACTGTTACTACGTGTAAAGAACTTTTAAAGAACCATTTTTTAGAGTGTATTTTTCAGGGTATGAACTAGATTTGATTTGTAAAGAAAACGTGTGCTGTTGTTCAAAGTACACCTCTCCAGACCATTTGAGGTATCAATCATGTCTGAATCAAAAAACATTTAGGGCGAGTTTTTCTCTGAATAAAACTCCGCAATGCAAGACTGTGTGGATTTGACCATGAAATGTTTGATTAGATGTAATTACATGTGGCTATATTCTGAAAGCCTGTTTAAGTTATTTATAAGATAAATAATTTAGTATATAGTATTATAAACCTATTTCCATCTTCAAAGACTATTCATTTAAACATACTCATCTGGATTAAGTTTAGGTTTATTCCTCAGATGATTAGCATTAAATAGTTTACTGTGTGTTTGAAAGGATGGTATTTTATTACACATAATTCATTAGTGGTCATGGGATGCAGTTTTGGTCCAGTGTTTTCAGAGTGTTGGGGTCCATACAGGATGACTACAATGAGGAGGACAGGAATCTGATAGGAGGTCGGAGTCACTCTCCTCTCCACATGAGTGCATATTGAACCGGATCAGTGTTAGTGTTCACTTACACAGTCCAACCTTAATGTTTACAATAACACTGTGCGTCGGATGTAACATTATGGTGATCAATACAAAAAGCATAATGAATATCCAGACAGAATGATGTTAGAGAGAATATATATATATATATATATATATACACAGTCAGGGGCGTAGGAGCAATTTTGAACCTGGGGGGGGGGGGGGGGATGTCCCGAATTTTTGTATATACTTTTTTATATATAAGGCACTTAAATGCTTATTTCTAAATACTTATGGGAACAGACTGTATTACTTAGTTTGGTCTAAGCAGTGATTAAATTGTGATTTATTATGTGGGCTCTCTCTAGGGGGGTCCGGGGGTATGCTCCCCCGGGAATTTTTTTTGAAAAATAAACCATTAAATGGCACTTTCTGGAGAGTTTTGTGCAAAGAAATTGAGAAAATGAGTCTTACATGATATGTGAAAAACTGCAAGGTTAAGAGCATATACTTTGCATTGTTGTAGTATCAACAGGTATTAGGACATTTAGCATTTAGGCTACATACATTACTGTTAATCAGTCATGTTGATTAACTAAAAATTAAAAACTCAAATAAATGGTTGATTTAATTTCCATCAACCACCTAGCTTACCCCCCAAGGATTGAAAAATAAAATCAATCTATACTTGTGGAAAGGTTCCTTGGTAGCTAAGGTCTAGCAAGTCTTATATTTCTGTAATTCACACAGATCAAACACAAATATGCTGCCTGAATAGATTGCTAGTTTGTTTTGAGTAGCCAGTTAGCAGTTCTCTTGGCAGTTTGCTGATAATCCGGTGTCTGAAGTAAAATGCTCAAAACATCTCCTGAGAAAAATCACATGGCCAACCTAGTCTTGGTCATTTAATTTAGATTTAGTCTTATTTTCCTTACCTTGTCATTTAAGGCCAGGGCACTTTATGTACATTTCTGGAACTTTTGCACGCTTCCACATCCCGCGCAACTAGGATCTCCCAGGAACACTCATTATATATTGCTGCGTACATTTATCCGTGTCACATAGATGCGCATGCGCGAGCGGTGCGCGATCATGGTCGACTGACAACGAGATTAGCAGCTGAAGAATTCGGCCGTTTTTTAAAATTGAATTATGTATTTAAAAGTTGCCGAATGGATTCATTTGGAGACTCCGAAATCGGCAGAGATAGGCAGGCAATGCAAAACAAAATCTTACATTGGGAAATAGTGGGGGGGACAAAACTTCGATTTTGAAATGTGGGGGGGACATGTCCCTGTACACAGTACTGAGCAAACGTCTTAGGCACGTTAGTATTTTCACCAAAAAAAAAAAAAGGTTTTAAACTGGAGGTAGGTTCGTTCAAGTTACCACAGTTCTTCTGGATTTAGTCTGTCTCAGTTTTTTCTTCATGTAATCCCAGATGGACTCGATGGTGAGATCAAATCTCCATGTGGAACAGATGGGCTGTTGTCAGACTCCTTGTGCATACAAAAATCTCACTGGATTATTACAATTAATGGCAAAATGAATTTTTGAAAATGTAAACTGATATTTCCTACTGACACTACAGTAAAATATATAAATAACTTGCTTAAAACAAATTTATTTGAAAATACTAACATTTTGCAACTAAGACTTTTACAAAGTGTGTATGTATATATAGCCTACACTTACAGTAGCTACACACAGGCACTAGGCCTACATACTCTCCTTTTTTTAATAAAAATATTTTTTGTTGTGCAATTTTTGCTATATTGTCTATATATATATAGCCTATGTATACGGTGAAGATTAGGTAGTCTTTGTTAATGAAAAATAGCCAAACAATTCGAAATAATTTTGTCCCACAGATGCATTTTAGGGTCAAACAGCAGTCCAATCAAGGAAGGTCTCGTTAGAGCAGCAGTATATGGACCCCCAGCCTAGCACCTATAAAGACCCTCAGTATTCCTCCTCCTTCAGCTGTTGGGGCTTGGGGCCCATATACTGATGCACTAATGCGACCTTTTCTCCTCAGTCCAGTTTAATTTGCGCGGGGGCCGGACGAGCACTGAAAGACCTGTTCACAGCCATTACCAAGATTCCTTTATCAATGTCTAGTAATTAAAATGTCACCACTTAATTTTCAGGCCATGGTGAACCTCTTGTAGCAATCCTTTCCTAATAAAAACAGTAATCGAAACGCTATTTTCACTCGAAACAAAAAGGTTGCGGCAGGCGACTCGAGGGTGTCAAGGCGACAGAGATCAATATGAGAGAAGCTGATTGATCTCGCGCTAAAGTGAAATTTATTGGGGTCGTGCTTTTATACTGCGCGGATATAACGGTGACTGTAGAACACTGCTTTTCAGCTGATGCGTTTATTAAACCTCTCTTGCTGAATTAGTCTGCTTTTGATTTATGTGCCAATCTTCGCAATGACCTCCAGGACAGGATCTCTTATTTTTCTAAAACACACTGGTTTAAATCTGAAGTGGTTCTTATCTGAACTTGTTAGTGCGTTCTTTGAACAGAACGAGCTTCTTGGTAAAATAAAATTATACATTTGGTTTAAGATACCACCAGAAAAAAAATGATTGCGTAATTTATATAGGCCTAGACTTTTATATTATGTTATTCCGCATGTTTAGCTAAAAGTAGTTTTTAAAATTCAACCTAAAAAAAATCTAATCGCTGTGGAAATAATGAGTTGCCTGATCTCATGGTCATTGCCTTTAGTTCTCTGAAACGGCAACCAGAGGGCATCAGTTCAAACTGTCTAGCTGATGATGGCATTAGCCTTAAAAGGCATTCCTTTAAAAATAACTGCTTGTGCCTACTGACTACCCATTCTTTCTTGTCTATTCTATTACAAAGACTTAGTTGTCCGAACCATTTTTCACCACACTGACAGATTGAAAAATAAAGATAGTTTAGGCCTACTTCGGTAATATTGGTAAATTCTGATGTTGGACTGGATCTCATTTCATTGAATTGTTTCCTCCCACCACATTAGCACAACTTCATGTGCGGTATAGCTAGCCTACAACTAATTATCTTTTTTACAACGTATTTAATCCTAATGTTATGCAAAAAGATCATGTGCAGGGCGATATTTAATAAAGACGTTTTCCCCCTCCAATTCTTTCTTAGCTACTGGCCTATATAAAGTTTCTTTAATTAGTTTACTCATGCCCGTGTAATATAATAGCCTAGCGCGTATATTAATGAGCCAATAATGGCATATGTCGTCCTGAAACACAATATTTATCGTATTGATTCAACCGTTATGTAAAAACAATCATTGATTATTTAATAGCATATGTCAAAGAGGTTACTAAGCACATCAAGTTTAATAGGAGTAACCTGGTCGGTGCTAAAATTAATAGGACAGCGTAATAGGCTATATGCAACCTTTAAATTAATATAAATGCCTTTTTGTTTGGGAGATTTCAATAATGTGAGGAGGTACGTTAACGTGAGTGAGTTACACATTTTTAAAGGGATATTCTTCTAAGGTCTGATTAAATGATGGCAGGATGGCTTGTTTAAAGACGGGTGTTGTGGGAGGATCCAGTCTTAGGACATGTGAGCCCCTGTCTCCCCTCCATAAACGCTAACAATGCTGCATTGAGTCTGACCACTAAATAATTCACAAGAAAGGAATAATTACAGAATAAAATTGTAATTATTGTTGGGCCAGAACGAAGCTTCTTGGTTGTGAAAGAAGACACGGCAAAGCAGATCTGGTTAAAGTTTCCCTTCCTATTAATATTGAATTAGGTTAAGCCGTGGCCTCTTGGTCACAGGACATACTGAGCGTCGCTTGACAGATTTTTAAACTTTCCCATGTTTTCAACTTTGTGCGATGATATAAGTTAACTACCTTCGACATTTATTTTCGTTTATTTATTGCTCGAATAAAAACGCATCTATTTATCTGTCAAATAGCAACATATAGCCTACAGATACATGTTCAGTTCATGCAAAATACACTTAAGCTCGAAGGCAGTTCTGATGTAATGGCTTAGCTGAGATGAACCATTCCTCTAAGGCAATTTTTGACATTATTAACTAATTGATTCGGTTAATTGTTAACATTTTATACAATTAATTACCGTTCAATCAAAGCTCCTTTTTTGCAAGACTGCATGTAGCCAAAAATGGACCGTGGCTGGAAATAGAATAATTAAAATAACTTGGTAATATCTTAGCCTACAAAATAATAGGTAGGCCTAAATTAAAACAAGATATAGACTATCAGTTATTCAAAACAGACTATAGTGGATTTGTTCTGCTTTGTTTTTAATCCTGTGTCTCTTTGCAAACCATCACAAGTGGAAAACGCGGATTGAAACGACTGACTGAGTGATGATGATACCTGTCCTGAACACATCGGCAAAACATTTCTGAGAGAATAAAACTTTTCCAGTGTCGTATTCCAAAGTAGACAGCGCAACTTTGCCCGGTTCGATATTGATATCTTTACGTCAAGACATAGTGGGGTTAACTGTAGGGCATTGATCAGGTTTTAAATAGTTAATACGGCCATATAAGGTTGCACCACTTACCTCAGTCCATTGCTCTGATATATCACTGTTTGTACACACTAGCCGCTCTCACTGGCTGGTGTGTTTAACAAATGTGCATCATTCATTCACCGGGAGACATGTGACGTAAAATGCGATGACCGCGAGCTTCTAATAGCAGTTTATAGCCTAGCCTACTGCATGGCCTGTGGACATGTTGCCAGAGGAAATGTTCAATGCAAATTCATAATGATTTATTGTTTAGTTTCAGAAGTGTCACTCAAACATGAACATTATTAAGTTCTAAAATTCATGGGAAACTTACGCCTATTAGTCTTGAGAAAAAAGACGCAGGTGTAGGCCTACATGACGAGTGGATGGGATGGGGTGGGGTGGGGAGCGGCTGATAGGCCTAAGCATCATAATTTTCCGTTGTTCATTGTTCTACACCCATCATATTCCGTCTTTATTCATGCGCAAAACCGCTTAAACTACATTAAGCGCCCTGTTTTTGGTGGCATATTTGTCTCTATCTATCTATCTATCTATCTATCTATCTATCTATCTATCTATCTATCTATCTATCTATCTATCTATCTATCTATCTATCTATCTATCTATCTATCTATCTATCTATCTATCTATCTATCTATCTATCTATCTATCAAGCAGCTCAACTATAAATTGGCAGTGATCTTTGTTTTGGAGTAGTGGAAGCAAACGGTTAATAGCCTACCAGAATCGGATTTGATCTCAGTGGGTGTGCCTTCTTATTCTTTTTGGCGTCCCCTCTCTTGAAGTAGATCGCGCACAACCTATTAAGAAGAGGCACGAGCTCCGGGACTGCCATGTGGTCACTCGGCTCGCGCTCCCGACGCCGTCACCACGCACGAGAGCTGAGTGGGATGGAAACTCTAAAGCTGTTTTGAGAGGGAAGACTCTATCCAGCCTCGCAGTTCTCCTCACGCACTACAGGCGGACGATTTGTCCTACTTGTTTTAGGCCTGTTAATTTGACGCAAACACACTCGCTCATTCGACTCAGTTTCCTCATAAAAAGGTAGGTTTCTTTTTTATATATTTATGTTTTATAATAAGTTGTTCAAAATTAGAATCAGTCTTGTATTTCCTTAAATTAACACGCTTATTATTGTATGGTCTACATTTAACGAAATGATTAGGACTCGGAAGAAAGATTAGCCTGTAATGTTTTAAAATATGCTGATCCTTGATTACGAAAGAGAATTTATAGCACCTAAATCAGGCGATTCAAAATAATACGACAAATCTAAAGAATATTCATACGTAAACATTAAAACATTACGGAGAAATATAGAAAACGAAAATATCCGTAGGACTGAAATATAACGGCTCCTTGCGCAATGGTTTAATTATAAATGATAAACTTTTATTAACAGATCAAAGTCGAACAACACAGGCTGTGTAATTACACAGAAAGCGGCTTACAGCTTCTTTTCCTTGTTGCTAAGCTTATTGGAGTAGCTAAAAGATTCTTCCCTTCTGCCCCTTTGCGTATTAGCGCCGTAAGAGGCCTTTAAGTAATCGCTCCGGCTTCTGAGCCGATTTGGATACATTAAGCAATGATGCAGGCTCTCAGGTCAGAGAGTGCGAGCTTTTAAAGATAGTGTTAGAGCCGTCAATATTGTCAACCTAAAAAGCCAAGTATTCATTTTAAATATTTATTAGTAGGCATAAAGCTGTTAAAAATTAAAAGTGCTAACTAAAAATAACTGTAGCCCACACTTTGTAACACAATTCTAAAATAATTATTGTAAAAAAAATGGTGGCCTAATTCTTAAATAACATTGAGGCTATTAGCCTATCTTGAAAAGCTAATTCTATAATGAAAAAAAAAAGAAAAAATAAAACGAACTAATTGGAAAGGATACATTTTAAACAAACAAAAAAGCCAATACTGCCGTTTTATTTTTTTATTTAGCCTTTTTATTGAAATAATGTTGCAGGCCTATATTATGATACAAATTAAAGATAATAATTATAACAAATAACGTGTTTATATTAGGATAACGCTTAGGCTACACAAAGCAAACATTGATTGATAATCTCAAGAGTTGCATAAAAAATACAACAACGGTTCTTGAATTGGAGTGTAATTTTTACGTTTCTGACTCGTTCTTCGCAGACTTCCAGGAATGGAGTCGATACCCGGTCAGCTTTCCACGGGACGAGATGCTTGCTCTTCCCCTAACTCGAAGCAAGAACTGCAGCCTTTTTCTGGCAGCAGCTCGCTGAAGCCTAATCAAGTGAGTGAGGCTGCGCTGTACGGAGTGCCCATCGTCTCTTTGGTCATCGACGGCCAGGAAAGACTGTGTCTGGCGCAGATTTCCAACACTTTACTGAAGAATTACAGCTACAACGAAATCCACAACAGACGCGTGGCGCTTGGAATTACGTGTGTGCAGTGCACACCGGTGCAGCTGGAGATCCTGAGGCGCGCGGGGGCCATGCCAATCTCCTCGCGCCGCTGTGGCATGATTACCAAACGGGAGGCCGAGCGCCTCTGCAAATCCTTCCTCGGGGCTCACAACCCTCCCAAATTACCCGAGAATTTTGCATTCGATGTTTCACACGAGTGCGCCTGGGGCAGCCGAGGAAGCTTCATACCTGCGAGGTACAACAGCTCCAGGGCAAAATGCATCAAGTGCACCTATTGTAATATGTATTTTTCACCCAACAAATTTATATTTCACTCGCACCGCACACCTGAGTCTAAATACACACAGCCGGACGCGGCCAATTTTAATTCATGGAGACGCCATCTAAAACTCACCGACAAAAGCTTGTCTGATGACATTTGCCACGCGTGGGAGGACGTCAAGGCCATGTTTAACGGCGGGAGCCGGAAACGGGCAATGCCGGGGAGTGGATCAGAAATGTCCTCCCCGCTCAAACCGCAGGCTTCTGGTAACATCACGCAGACCGCTTCCCCTGACATTCCTCACAAAACTTTGCGCTGCGACGACAACCGTGGTAACCTCGGTTTAACCAACAGCGTGCGTAACTACCCGGTCATTCCTGTGCCTAGTAAGAGTTTCGGCATGCTCCAGAAGATCCCGCCACCCATCTTCCCGCATCCGTATGGCTTTCCAGCATTTGGACTGTGTCAAAAGAAGGATGATGGAGTTGGTGAGCAGAACAAGACTAATGTACCTGGTGTGTTCTGGCCAGGTGCGAAGGACGGTATCTATCCATCTTTCCCCATGTTTTGGCCCACCACGGGCAGCCTGCCGCTCTCATCCTATCAACCAACACAACTAAAACCGCACACGGAGCTCATGAGTGCCCGGCAAACCGAAGCTGAAATGTCAGAAAGCGAGCGGGGAGGAAACACACCTAGAGACAGTCTGTTCGACAGCGAGCGCTGCTCCAGCTCGCAGTCCCTAAGGAACGACGAGGACAAATCTGGGGACGAGGCCAGGTCAAGTGAGGGTCAACCCAGCACCCCCAGAAAGTTGAGCTATATTTCTGCGTTCAGACCAGTCGTTAAAGATGCAGAAAGCATAGCCAAGCTCTACGGAAACAGGGACGCGTACAGCGGAGCTCATCCTGGCCATTTGTCGCCAGACTTTGTTAGTGAGAGCTCCAGCTACAGATCAGCCTCTCCGTGTGTGGATAGCGAGGAAGAACCAGATGTGGACGTGGAGACGCACAGAATTCCAGATGATGAGGAGTCTATACAACTTTCCGTGGATGATCGGCAAAGTCCCGTGGGAGAAAACAGTCAAACGCCGCAGCCGGACGATTTCAGTGATGCGGGCTCCCCTGAACACAATCAGAACAAGCAGGTGGCAAAGAAGAATGATGCCATTGCTTACGTTGTGAGTCACATAAACTATCATATTCAATGGTTTTGAAACCATCTGAATCTACCCAGTATTAAAACATCAAATGCTTAGCGTAAAATGATTTTGAATCAACAAATTGGCAGGCTGAATAAAACAAGTAATTGCTCCGAATGACACGTGTCTGATACAGAAGTCTTTCGGCTCTAATGAGTGATGATGACGCCTAATTATGAGCCTATAGCCTATGGACTCTACATTTATACTTTTCTATTTGTAAACACTTTGTAATTTGTGTTGTTATGGATACAGCTCGTTTAAATTCTGTTTATTAGTGTAGAACGATCTAAATAAAAGAACACAGCGGCGCGTAATTATAGTAAATTAAATGTTTAGAATTAATGGTCATTTCTGTTGTCGCCCGCGGGCTATTAGTGCATTGGTTTAAGGGTTCCCCTGTGGTTACTGCACAAATTATTCCCTTTGTCTGTCCATCTGACCGAATTTACCTTGTAATACGAGTATTTTGCCTTGATGTTGCCAAATAGCCTGTTTGTAGATCATTATAAGAGTAGCTAGGCCTAGCCTACTATTAAACGCAGTCTGTTGTCTGACGCATGGTTGCGTTAAAAAAGAAAGAAAATGATGCATGATTGAGCTTGTATTTTTTTGTTTATGTTTGGATAATTTTTGCAGGTGTACTCAAATGAAAAGGAGGGAGCATCTCTTCAAAGCACACTGCCATGTTTGGCCTCTAAACTTCCTCGCGCCGTGCCGGAAACAAATGGTGAGGCAATTTAATAAACTGAGATTTAAATGTAGGCTATAATTCATTAGTTTTATATATTCTATATAATTTTAACAACTTTTATTTTGATCAATTTATAGAGAAATTATAGGCTATTGAATTATGCACTCAAAAGTGACAAATATTTCCCTTTAGATTCACACATTTCAACTGACGACGAATGTGAATCACAAAAATCCTGTTCGGACCAAATTAGCGTTAGCAAAGAGAACCCAAGTGAGTAGCAGATCTAAAAATATTGTATCGTTCTTGCTTTTTTTTTTTTAAACTACATTAGCCTACATCTTTGTAATAATAATATATTTCTTATTTTATGGCAGGCGATGCTGCATTGAGAAGAACTGATAGCAGATTTAATTTCGAGAAAGACATCGAAAATATGGCGAAAGGTACAAGAGAGTTAACATTTAGACGTTCTAGACAATTTTGAGCTGTGTAATTGCATTGTTTTCTAAGGCGTTACAAAATAACTTGACCAATTACAAATACTGGATGCCAATATCTTTTTATGATTAATTATTTAAACACAGATTCGACAAGGCATTGTCTATTTTTAAGGCAAATATATAGGCCTTTAAATTGTGAATCTATGTTTCCCCCTTTTATGCACACATTATGCATTTAAAAATGAGTGTAATCGCTACTGTTGTGTATTACTGAGAATTGTCCTTGAACTGCAGACGATCCACATTGTCAGGCTCGTTTTCCACACACCCCTCAGGCAACTGTCCTAATTATTTTGCAATGTCATGCTTGAGAACACGGGGACCGTGTGTTTAGCCTTAGTAACCTAAATAGCGCTATTAGACAAGAAAACCAAACAGAGTGAAAATACATGATAAAAAAAAATACAATTCTGAAAAAAGACTGTATAGCTTACTCAAAAGCTATTGAGATATGTGGTGATTAAAAGTCACAGTGGTATGATCAATTATGTGATTTCTGTCGGTTTCCACAGAGGAGCTCCAAAAGCAGCTCTTGGCGCAAGTGGAGTTGAGAAAAAAACTGGAACGGGAATTTCAAAGTTTAAAAGGTAATTAAGAACTGGATAGTATATTCACAACATGATTTTATTTGCTAGCCTACATGATTTCTTCAATTTATAACTTAACACGTGTTGACTCTAACAGATAATTTTCAGGATCAAATGAAGAGGGAACTGTCTTATCGAGAGGAGATGGTCCAGCAGCTGCAGATTGTACGAGGTAATGCAGATTTTGCACTATTGACCAAAAAAAGGTCAGTTTAGAAAAAGTAACACTTGCATATTTTCAGAATGACTGAATTTTTAAAAGAAAATATTAGGTCACAGGAAATCTAATACCTTTAACATTTGTGACCCACCTCAAATGATTTATTCATTTTTCTTTTTATTTTATTTAGACACATTGTGCAACGAGTTGGATCAGGAGAGAAAGGCTCGTTATGCAATTCAGCAGAAGCTTAAAGGTAATTTAGAAATATAGGCTACCATCCATTAAAGTGGAATGAAAAAGATTTTTTCACATTGTTCTAAGAGCATTACAAAAGAAATATGCAAGTGCTACTTTTTAAACGGATTACTCAAGGTATTTAAAACGCATTAAAACACGTGTTTGATTAAGTGTAATAATAGAAATGATTAGAGAGGAGTGTGATAGCTTTCTAATCTTCATGTATTAGACATACAGTATGCATGTGCATCATACGTCATTGTGTGACATACAGCATTTGGAGAATGTAGTTGCATGACTCAGTAAAGAATTAGCTGTTGTGCTGTGATTCTTTGAACTCAATCAACCTTTTCCCTAGAAGCTCACGACGCTCTTCACCATTTCTCCTGCAAAATGCTCACTCCACGCCACTGCACAGGGACCTGCACCTTTAAGCCGCCCCTCTTACCACCTTAACTTAAAGCTGCATCCCAGGATCCCAGTGACATCTGTAAACCTCCCCTAAAGGAATTCTCCATTTACACTCTGTTTGAGAGGTTCACGTTATGCACACTGAACACTGAGGACTGCTGAATCACAATCCATCCATGGCAAGTGGCATTTGAACATTCTACTGTGGATGAAAGTGTCTATTACTTAAGGAAAACAGAGTAACACAAACCAGAGGATTACAATAACTGTTCAAATACTTATGCTGTTACTTGTGTAAATAGGTTGATTTTTTTAAACAATACAATCCATAATATGTGGCAATGTGCAATGAACTGTATAATGTGAAATTTCATAAACTGGAATTGATTATTCTCATTATTTATGTGTTTTTAACATGTAATTGTTTTTCTCTAAATGAATTCACTGATGTGCTATCCCAAATTAATTGTGTATCATCAATATTAAGCACTTTAAATAAGCAACATTTCAGACCAATCTATCCAAAATTATTCAACCCCAAAATTATTCAAAATCAGCTGTATCTCATATTTATGTATACAACAAGCACTTATCCCATATTTCCCATAAACAATTGAGAATACAGCAAAAGCTGTTATTCCACATCACAGTGCTCAAACTAAATGGCATACGACCTCTGGAGTGTTTCTTTTCTTTCTTTTTTTTGGTCAAAAATAAAATGATCTCTTGCCTCATTCTTCAATAAAAAGTTAAATCAAAGCCACAAGTATTGACTCTTGAATTCAAGCTATTTCCTTCACATTTGTAATAGTTTTTAACTGTCACGAATTAAATAAAATAATTTATGACACAAATTGAAAATCCAGAAACTGTAGGCCTATTGGCCACCTGAAATACATGCCTTTGCCCGACAGCCTGCATAGGCTATCCTAAGACGAAAACAATATGTAAGCCTATATTGAACAGCAATATTTAAATATGTTATGCCTACTTGTCCTTTCCAAACAATACAGCTTAATCATTTCCAATACATATATGTTTAGCCTGCAAATTAAAATTTGTTCAGTAGCCTACCTACTATTTTTTTTATAGAGCTGCACACTGCAAGCGCAGCTTACCCACAGCTCAAACTGAGCACGCCTATTACTGTTGTGAAATACAACACTTCCATCTAGTGGTGAAAACAGACACTGCACATTCCAATGGGTTTATTCAGCGTTCTTTTCGCTTCATGCTCTATTTGGAGCGTTCGAGTACATTATTCTGTTAAACAGGGTTATGAAAGTAAGATTTATGGTTCTTAATAAAGAAGATCTGAATTACATTCTCAAAGACGACAGTAAAAAATACATCTGAATATTAAATTAGCTTCGGCGGGAGTTGTTTAAACTGTGTTTATTGTCAAATAAACACGTGATAGGCTACTTCTGCAATGGTACCCTTTAATTACTGAGAGTGTATTTAATTATCCACTAATTCAATGTTGGCATGTGCATTGTGCACCCACCTGTAGAAAGGTATTTATACTTGTGGCGCATTAAAATACAGAAGACAAAATGCTGATTCAAAAAAATACTTTGTAATGACTGAAAACAACGTCAAAACAAATGTAAAGCATTTGGATAAATAGAATCTATTTGAATGCGTGCATTTTAAAGGCTTCACTTTTCGATATGATACTTGTAGTAGCATGATTTCTCCCAACATGATAGAAGTTTTCCACGCACTTTAGGCACTACTCGTTGAAAAACATGTGAGCGGTTACGCCGGCAACGAGCGGCGCGTGCATACCACGTGACCCGACAGCGTCACGCCTGCGCTAGCAGTCACAAGATGGCGGAGAGTGCGGAACTAAAGGTAAAACGCTGCGCTCAATTTCCAGTCGGATAGTGTGTAGGGATATTTTATTGTACCCTCAGAAGTACGCGTACTACTTACCTGCTGTATCAAGGGGCCGTTATTATGCATTTAACCTCTGTTCTCGTAGCCAAAGTTGCATGAGAAATGATTTTGCAGTGGAGCTCTTGTAGAAAGCTTTCAGCGTGTTATTGTTGATGTAGAGGGAGCTGTCTGTCCACCGCTCTCCTCATGGGAATTACTAACTTTAACTCTTTTCTCCCTAATAACTCACGCTAAGAGTATCTGTTGAAAATCAGTCTCAGACTCTGGCTATTTTAATATTTACTTCTAGTAGACCGTATGTGTGGATTTTTATGGTTAATGTGATGTAGTCGCCTGTACTTGTGGATTTGCTAGAAAGCTCCATCGCGTCGCGTGCTGGGCGCGAGCGCTGTTGACGTGCTGTCAATCAAGTTAGAGGAAGTGCACGAGCACCGTCACTCAGATTTAAGCACCGAAATAACAACTGACCATTGCAGTTGATCATCAAACTTCAGTCAGATGTTATTACATAGATGCCCAGTGAACATTTAAGTTAACCGTCCTTAGCCTTCTAAACCAGTCGATAAGGCAGAACAAGCTTTGCCTTCTTAAAAAAAAGTTCCAATATTGTATGATTATATTTCTGTTATTTATAGTGTTATTTGACCCAAAATGTAAAAAACTTATGTGGGACAAATTATGAGATTTTAGGCAGAATGACAGCCTCGCTTTCGCATTTGCTTTATTGTGTGGAAAAAGGATAAAGTGAATGGTGACTGAAGCTGTCTTGCTGATTCTTTTGTGTTTCACAAAAGACAATAGCCCTATGTCATACAGAACGAATTTTGTTGTTGTTGCATGAGCTAACCCTTTAAGTTTAATGGAATATGTTCATGACAGGTGTTGCATGACTGTGATGTCTTGAATCTTTATTAAGAGGGTCCTAACTGGAAAATAATATTCCACAACATTCTAAAGCACTATTAAGTTTTTCTCTCTCATTTTAGCTGTGCATGTCTGATAAAGCTTTTTGACCTCTGCACACTGGAAGAAGTTCACACTGTTTTAAATGTCTGTGCTTTTGTGATTTGTGCTGCTCTCCTTTATTCATTCTCATTCAAGGTTTCATCTGGTCTTTTTGCTTTGTCAATTGGGGGAAAAAGGGATTTAGTCCCCTGGTCCTGTCTTTCTACTTATTCATTTCTTACATACTGACCTACAGTTTGGTCAGTGTCTTTAGCAGGTCCACTTACAAGTGCAGAGATTAAATTATAAACCAAAATTAGATTCTCTTTTTACTTTGCTTGCAAAAATATTTAATAGTTACTTAAAGGCAGAAATGAGCACCTATACACATACGGTTACTTTGGGTTTGGCCGAAGGTGTGGATAGGGTGGATGAGAGAGGTAGACTTGCCCACATGTTGCTTACTGGACTGATATTCATCATGCCTTCTAGATCTCTGTCTCTCTGCACTTCTGCAGTCTTACTCAGTTTTAGATTAGAATGCAGATTACTGTCTTATTTTTTTGTGCTTTGAGGCATTTGGCAAAAATTCAGACCGTGTTCCTGGTAAACTCAATCGACTCTTTGCATGCTGATGCTTACTATGTATTTCCGCTAAAATCTCAGTGCTACGTTAGCTTCCTTTATACTGGTATTCTCCCATAGCAGACTGTGGTAGTAGGAAACTCTTTCTGTATTTCTAATAACTGTAGATCACAACAAATTATATTATTATTTAGTGCTGTCAAATCGATTAATCGCATCTAACATAAAAGTTTTTGTTTATATAATATATTAATATATGTATATCGGCTATATTACTATATATGTGTGTATATATATATATGTATATATATACATATACATCTTATTTCTCAACTGTTTACGTTCATTTAAGACATGTCAAATATGTTTACAAGGATACTCGCCAAAACAGGCTTTTTGATATAATTTTGTGTGATTTAGAAGTGAATGAGAACTCAATTCAGTAGGCTATTTGTGGCTTTCCGGGCACGCACTTTGGATGTGTGCGCACACAAAACTTCTCACACAGTGATTAGAATTGAGTTCTCTTTCACGTCTTCACGTGCAAAGGATAAACTTTTGTAAAGATCCAGCACTGGCCTGATCGGGACAGTGACAGTTCTGTCAATTGTCCCGATCATCATTCACTCTGGCACCGGGCAGGCCTTATCGTCGAGCCCTGCTGTATTTTGTACAGATTTCATTTTGTTTAATTATTTTACCCAGAGAAAAATGTTGCGAGTATGCCACAGACATTATACAACTCAGTGCCTACACACAGTTAATTAATAAATCATGTTATAGCTGATGTGCCAATGTTTTTAAAATGATCTAAAATCGTCCGATAAATATCGGCAGCCAATACATCGGTACGTCTCTAATACTATTTATATTGTTGTCTATAGTAAACAACATTTTAGTATATTATATTAGTAATGAGTTCCAGAAACTTTAAATACCTTTTGCGTAAAGGTGGATCATATCAATTCAACATTGCTTTGTTTATTCTGTTGTTGGACACTTCCTGTGCTTAATTTTCGGACAATTTTTATACACTTCCCTGCACCGGAGGTAGCGGTGGCAGGGAATCGGCTATTTGCTGAGACAAAATAGGGAAGCGATTGTTCATAGAGTCCATTGAATTAACTCCATTGAATTTTTTTTTTTAAAGAATTGATAATTGCAACAGAATCTTCTTTTTAGTCATGTTGAGGAATTGCGATGATTCCCACAGGAGAATGATATTCGGATTTATCTGGTGCTGATTTATATAATAGTGATTAGGTAAGAGTTGATGTAACCATAAGCTGTTTTTAAAGCATGCGAGTTTTACATATTCCTGTTGCCTACCTGCAGGATTGATCAGTTGTGTGGGTCCAGATGTTTTACTCTAGTGTTTTTGGATGTTGCTGTATGTCAGTACAAAGAAAAAATGACTTTGCGTGCGTACAATCATTCCTCGATTCATTATTTTATCCATCTGATAAGATCCACATACGCTCATACTGATGTGCTCATTCCCACTCAGGCTGTAGCCAGCTATATCCGTCCACACAAATAGCCTCCATCAACACACAGAGGTGATTAAGGTGGGGATTGTGGTTGTGTGTGTGTGTGTGTGTGTGTGTGTGTGTGTTTTATTATATCTCCCTTCAGCAGATGTTCTCTTACCTGGCTCTAGCTCCTGTACCAATTTCCTGGGGGCTTAGCTCACACTGCACGTTCTCACACACAATGCAGCACATAACCAAATACTGGAAAATAGACATTTCTACCAGAATATGTGGAATCATCCTACTTATCTGGGGTCATTTGCTGCTATTATGGCTTATAATACGTGTAGTCAGCTCAGCAATCATGCTCTGTTTGGACTGTCGTCTAAATCGTGTATTAAACTCTCCCTGTCTCCACTCAGCATACTCCACAATACATCACAGCATTATAGATGAATGAGGTTTAGATTTAAGACACGATGAGCTCCACATGGCCAACAAATTAGATTTTATGTTTTTAAAGCTGCCAAGTGACAGTGATGCACATGCAGACTGACTGAAGAAAGAGGATGCTGAGAAGCTCGTACTCTCTCTCGCTCTCTCTGTGATTTGTTTGTACTTGAGGGTTTTGTAAATGCAGGTTATAGGCTAGATCTTATTGTGAACCATTCATCCCTGT